TCTCTCTCTCCCTTCCTCCCTCTCTCTCTCCCCCCTCTATGGCATTCTGACATTCTGTGTAGCACTTATGTAATGTAATACAATCTTACTTTGCAGACGTCTCTATCTCTGCACCACCTCCCTAAACGCATGCTAAAAGATATGATTGTGTCTTAAGTAGCTTATGTCCCCTATGTTACTTGGCATGGTCCTGGCAAGAGGAGGTGAGATTAATGAGAAGCAAATAAGCAAATAATGCGTTTCTTGAGCCACATAATTTACCGAATATGGCACAGTCTGGAGTCAAGCAGAGTTGAGAATTAATGAGGGGTAGAAGGGAAAGCAGATTTTTTTTTTTTTTCTATAGCTCTAATTTCCATGGAATCAAAAGAGGAGAATCAGACCTGGGTTTCAAAAGCAACAGGACCTATGCTCAAAAAGTTTGTTCCTAAGTTAGACCACATGTGCATTAGCTACCTGAATACCAAAACACTTTAAAGAATTATTAGAAATGTTATTTTCCATTACTCTTAATGGAATGCAACTGGAATCTGCAAAATGTTGTATCCATTGGGATGGCTTCCTCATTAACTATTTCGCAACAGTCTGTGTTTCGTTAGAAAATGGCTCCAGGGCACTCAGAGAGGTGAGTGAGCAGCTGGCTTGCCTCCCCCCTGTGTAGTCTTAGCTCCAGCTAACAAATGATTGTCGCCCCCACCTTTGGAACCCCCCACCTAGGGTGCAGCCCACAGTGAATAGCTGAGCCTCAGGACTGGGCAGAACCTGGTAACTGGGAAAGGGGCAGCAGTCACATTCACTTTTGAATTTTTCCTGGGAGGAAAGCACAAGGGATCTGGTTGTACTTTCATTATGTTTTCATCAAAGTAGTATCAGCCTTGACCTGGTAACTAAACACATCTAGTTGTTTCCCAAGATCACGAAGAAGCTAAATCCTGCCACTAGAAGGGGAAGAGTATAAGGACAGTACGGCCAGGACCCCCAGAAGTCAAGATCAGCAGGACAGGCCAGGGGGGGCAGTGGAGGTGAGTGGCAGGTGGAAGCTGTGCAGGGACAGCTTTGCTGGAGAGTGAAGGAGACGGGACAGACAGTACCCCACTGCTTGGACTCTCCAGAAGCAGGGGAGAAGGCAGCATGGCTGACGCTGGGGAATCCCACCAAATTCACATGCAGGTTCAAGGTCCTTGGTTGCCATGAAATGTGTCAGTATTTGCCTCCATCTTGTCCTTCCTGCCATTCCTTTTCTCTCCTCTGGCCCCACTCACAGCTATTTGTCCTTTTCTTCTCTTTCTCTGCTGCTTCTTATCTTGCAATCAAAGATTCAAACTGTGTGTAGTGCAGGGGGAAGCAGAAGTCACTTAGGCTTTAGGATTAAATCTTCAAGAAAGAGCAGCTTAAGTTAGAGGAACAAGTATATACAAAGTACTCATTATGATGTGCCCACCACCAGTTGCACTTGAGGAAGTAAATCTTATTAAATATGGAAGTCTGCTCTGCTATCCCCTCAATTTACATATCATCTCTTTAAAGAAATGGTTCATACATATACTTACCACAGAATTCAAAAGAGTTGGAAAAGATCAGCTGCTAACCTATCACTCCGTATTGAACACACAGCACATAGTCTAAAACCCAGAGAACAGCAAGTTGTTCACATGTATAATAAGAAAAATTGGTATCCAAACATCATTCCCTGACTTCCAGTTGCAATACCTGGAAAATTGGCTTCTGTCAGTTAGTGACTAGACTGCACAAGACAATCTAACTACAAGGACTGCTGGAGGGCCTTTCTTAGAATATTTTATGAAAATTCTGATTCTTACCCTCAAGGAATTTACTCTCTAACTAAAGAGAAAATATACATTCACACATGGACCCATTAGGGCAGGAGGAAGAATGAACTTTGATTTGTGATATTCTAGGATCTCCTAAACAAAGGTGATGGATGTTTCATTTTAAAGACGTTAAGTTTAGAGGCTGTTTCTAAGGTTTCTTTAGTTTTGTTTGCTTTGCCACCATCTTAGTTGAGGAGATGCCTTTGACTATGATCAAAATCAACATCATTCTATGAAAAGTCAATCATTGCTGGAGACCACTCTGAAGCAACTCTGAGCAGGATCTACTATTAACTAATTGGTTTTCCAATGTTTGCTTGGGACTTTTCCTTAGCTGTGGCTTTATCTTGTCCTTTGAGGCATCCCAACTTCACAGGCAAATATAGGCTTCAGTGGGGACCAGTAACTCATAGAAGTTCACCTACTATGAGTCTGCTGCCCATCCTCAGACAAGGTGCTCAAGCTGCGGACAACTCACAAGTAAGCATGGAAAGACAATTGGTTAATATTAAATCCTTCTCAGAGCTGCTTCATAGTGGTCTCCATCAAATTATGAAGCATCTAACACCTTTACATGTAAGAATAAACAATTATCACCTCCCATCCTAAAAGGTGATCCAGGAAGTGGGAGGAGAGAAGCTCTAAACAGTAATCGCTACTGCCCCCATCTTATAGGTAATTGGGATTCACAGAGATTAAGAAGATTGACTTATAATTAAGTTTTCCCTCAAAACTGTCTGCTTTTACATGAGGCACTTTGGGAGTTTGTTTCCCACTGTCTTGATGGAGCTGTCAGGATTCTTTCAGCTGGTCATATATGGCTAGAAGCAAGCAGAAGCCCAGTTTCATAGTTCTGGAAACCAGCTCATGAAAATATATGGTTTTCAAAATTTCCTAAGCCCTAAGGACTAGCTGCTTGGTGGCCGCTAAGCAGACCAGGACAGAGGGAAATGGCTCAGGTTGTGGAGAGGACTGGTCATGTCCCTCGGGGTGCCCCCACAGCGTTGGGAACAGGCAGTGGTCTCTCAGAAAATGAGGGAGACACTTCTCTGGTCACTCACTGCTGATGAGACACCTTTCATGAAGGGAATCTGCATGGAGAATACGGGTTGCAGTGTCAGACACCCCTCCACTGGCCCCAGAATCAGCTTGTAAAATGTGACTCTGGAAGGACATGTGTCTGGAGCTACCACCTCAATACAGTTTCACCCCTCTTCAGCCTAAGCATTGCCCCCCAGAGCCATTTCCTGATTCACCAGTGCTCCTAAGGCACCTAAGACATGTTGTATCACCAAATGCCCTCAGCTGTAAATGACAGAAGGTGCCTCCTGCAAGACCTTGCAGCTCACGGACTGCTTCACGCTGAGTTCCAAAGACAGTTGAGACAGAAGGCTCAACCCACTGAGCCTTCTCTTCTACAGATTTAGAGATTCGCTAGAGCTGTGAGGCAACTCCCCCCACCCACACACCCACCATTAGGGTGAGAGAATCAGAAAGGCAGATGTCTCCAGGGGCACGAATGTACTCTATAGAACAAAGGGAGGGATCCTGGAGCACTCTCCTGGATTCAGCCACTCACCTGGTTCCTATGATCTACGGGGACAGTTACACTCTCCTGTGGGGAGGTGAAGCAGGTGCCTCAGACATCAGGAGTGTGAAGCTGTCTCCCCCATGCCCTGGGCTATGCCTTTGATTATGGGACAGGATCTCAGCTTAGGAGCCCTTTATGTCCTTCACCCCCTCCTGTTCACAGTACCTTCCCATCAACAAATATCTCAGTGAAGACTCAATTATCAATTCAGAGGAAGGGACAGGTAGAAGTCTTTAGGTATTGTGGTGAAGAGCCCTTCCTCTTCCCCTGTAGGGTCTCAGGAGGAAACCCTGTAGCTATCCAGACCCCTCCTCCTCCCAGCCAGTCTTGGCTGTGGCCCTGAGTTTCTTCCCTGGTTGCAGGTTACTACCCTGTCTCTGTTATGCCCATCTTTTCCCACGACTCTCCTATTCAAAAGTGGGGACAGGGGCTGAGGATTTAGCTCAGCGGCAAAAGCGCCTGCCTGGCAAGTGCAAGGTCGTGAGTTCGGTTCCCGGTACCGGAGAAAAACCAAAAAAAAAAAAAAAAAAAAAAAAAAAGTGGGGACATACCAATTCCCCATTTTCCATCAGATAAATAAATAATCAGCAGTTCAGATGCAGCTATTTGGGCAAAACTCAAGCATGGTCATGCTGACTTGGATCTTGAGAAGTCAGCAGAGATCTCAGAGTGTTATCCCTCAACTGTCTTTGGAACTCAGCGTGAAGCAGTCCATGAGCAAGGCAAGGTCTTGCAGGCGGCACCTTCTATCATTCACACAAACCCCAGGACACAGAACACTATATTGCATGTCCACCTGGGAAACTTAGGGGGAATCACAAGGCTACCTGCTTGTAGGTCTCCGGATGGTAGAATAGGGGTTCATGAAGTCTGAGCTGTTCTGACCACTCTCTGTCCCTCAGGCTTGGACACCAGGCAGGCGCAGGTCATCGTCCTGTCCTCGGGGACCAAATGCATCAACGGCGAACACATCAGTGACCAGGGGCTGGTGGTCAACGACTGCCATGCAGAGATCGTGGCCAGGCGGGCATTTCTCCACTTTCTCTATGCACAGCTGGAGCTGCACCTGAGGTAAAGGGGCCCATTCTTGCTAGACATACCTCCACTGGAGAACAGCCAGGGAGCAGAAGGGAGACATGACCAATTCAGACACATTATCCTAGCAAGTTTCCCACAAAGGATGAGCAGCTACCCACCATGAAGCATCCAATCTTTATCAAGACTTGAGATATATTTTACACACCACACAGGCCGGTACAATGTCAAATTTCAGGTGTCATCCTCAGTAGCCCACACCTCTCTCCAAGAAACACCCTGTTTGCTTGTGAGTTACATACACATATACCTCCACACAGGTAAAGGATGCATCTTATCACAGTTTGTTTCATTTGATTTTTTTCTATTAAGACATTTGAGAGATTGCTGTAGAATCTCACAAGTCAAAATTTCCTTAATGAAGCTCAGATGCCTCTAGAGGTAAGGCAATCACTAGATAGCTGTCCCTTGACTTTGCATGCTCTAAGCTCAAATAGCAATGAGACAAAGAGAGAATCCAGCTCTGGGGTCAGCTAAATGGGTACAGAGATATTCCCCAAAAGGAATAGTAACCCAGATCTGGCCTACACTGTGTCTCTTTAACTATAAGTTTCGATGAAGGCATTTCTTGTCCCATTACCAGCCTCTAGTTATTTCACCCAGAACTAGCCATGTATAGGTTAGCAGGTAGCTAGGTAGGAAGGAAAAAAAAGAAAGAGGAATAAAGGAAGGGATGAAGGGAGGAAAGGAGAGGGACACAGAAATAGAAGAGAAGAATGAATTCACTGTCTCTGGGGAATGAAAGCTATTGCTCTCTCTGAATCCCATAACTGCACTGACTGAACTGAAAGTGTGTTCAGTTACAGTGAGAAGTGACTTGGGTCAATATACCCTCCCTGCTCTGTGTAGACTTTCAGCCATGGAATGGTGTCACATTGAAGTTGACATCTGTGCTAAAGTTTGACAAAATCGTCTCCATTTCAAACAGGACCTGTGGCTCAGTATGTCTGCACAAGTACCTCCTTCACCCCTTCTCAGCACTGTTGTAAGAATTTCTGTCAAGGAAACTTTTTATGAGAGCTCAGGGTTTTTGCAAGACTGGCCAAGACCATCTCCCAAAGGCCCATAGGTGGGCTACCATTCTATTTCCTGTCCCCAGGCCAAGTCCTTTAGGTGACAGGCTCTTTCCACCGGACAAGTCTCAAGCAAGCAGCTCTCACTAAGCAGTGTGATTGCAATACACCATAAATATTTAAATTTTTAAAATATATTACAGTAAAAGACATATTGCCATTAATCCCCCTGAAAAATACTCTGTCTTGATTCTAACATACTTATCCAAATTTTGTCATTTTTCTAAAGCAGTTCTGGAAGTCCTCTTTTGTGAGTGTTTTTATGAGATGAGGTTTAAAAAATGGTGAATGCTATTGTTAAAGTCATTCAGTAGAAAGACAGGCTCATAAAACATCATGGTATGTGCTCATTCACCTTTTTACCACATCTGGCACCAGATGACTTCCAGCTCCTCCCCAAAGTCAAAATGATCATGAAAGGTAAACATTTTGAATCAGTTCAGGACATCAAGGTAGCCATCACAACACAACTAGAGTCACTCATGCAAGAAGACTTCCAGAACTTCATTTGAAAGTGGCAAGAACAATGGGCTAAGTGTGTTCAAAGTGAGAAGGAATATTTTCAGGGAGCTTGATGGCAGTGTGTCCTTTATTGTAGTATTTAAAAAAAAAAATCAAATATTTACCATATTTTTTGATCATACTACAAATAACATAATGGTGCTTAATATCTTCAGTCTTCCTGGGTGAGTCTATCCTCCCCACATTCTCAAATGTGCCACATTCTCTAGACCTGCTCCTCAGGAAATGTGCCCAAATGGCTATTAACAGGCTTTGAGATGTGACCTGTTTCCTGGCTCCATCGCCAAGGACATCTTGATAAGGGTGTTCCAAACTGCAAAGGCCAATGAGGCCTCAGTCGTAAGCTCCATTGTTGGAATTTCCAGCATCTCATGGCAGCTTGTCCTGGCCATGAGAAAGAAACAGGCTGCTACCTAAGCTGGTATCTCTTGCTAAGTCACTTAAAGCAGGAACAGAAATGCAGGTAGATTGGAGCATAAGACACCTCAAATGCATTCCTAGGCTGAGCTATTTAGTTACAATGGTTTGATTCCTGTATCTTCATCAGAATGTCCCTTCTCTGCCTTTTCTAGCTGTCCTTTGCAGCAGTGCTCCTCAAATCCACTAATAATGGGATCTCAGGGGACTTTTATTGAGTGATTCATTCATGCCCATTAGATACACAGAAGCCACACAAAGGAAGAAAAGCCCAAGCAGATGGCAAACAGACTTGAATAAAAGCAATGCCTTAATACACTCAAATAATTTTTATCTGAACCGTGAGCAGTACAAAGCAGCCTGAGATACTGCCACATCCACCCAGGAGGGCTGCCCAACTGTCGACCAGAGTTGGACATCTTTCCAAATGAAAGAAGATTTCTCCTGAATGTTCAGCTGCTCCACTGGTAATATTTCCAAGTATCCCTACATCCTGCTTGTGTCATAGAGGCAATCAAGCATTTACAGGAGCTGGCTTCATGCTGGGATCTGTGCTGCCAGCTTGGGGTATGGGGTGTATTCAAAGACAACTGTACCCTGATCCCTTCCCTGAACAGGGGAGCAGGATACCATCCTCTGCAGCAAAATGCCAGTTATCTCCTGGGACCTCCTGGGAGGCTCCACGGTTTTCCAGGGGTTCCCTTGAGCAAATGGAGGGTGGGTGCCAACCAAAGAGCAAAGGCTCAGAAGCAGGAAGGCTGGTTGGTAGTCACCCCCAGGGTTTCCTGGGGATAAAATGTGTGTTCTGCTGCCTGTGAGGCCTCAGGGCGCAGCAACACAGAATCCATCAGCAGTGGGGCAGAACGAGTGAGAACAGCTAGGGAGGCATAGAGCCGACTGCTGGAAATCAGGGTGAGCAAAGTCTGGGAAAGGGTAAGCAGTCGCAAATGCCACCACATCCATGCTCCTGCAGCATTTCCCCTCCCTGATCAAGCCAGGGGCCTCAAGTCTAAGTTTGGGGGGCTGCAGGGGAGGTTCTTGAGGAGAAAAGACACAGATCCCTGCAAGTTTGAGAGACACTTTGTTTCTTCTTGATCTACTCGAGAGTAGGGTTGAGTTTAGAATCAAAGCAGATTCCTCACTGGTTGCTATTCCCACCTACCCATGCAGGTGACCAAGCCCAGCACTGCCCTCCCCCATGCACCTACCCATCTGCCCTGTTTTTTGAGGCAATGTCAAAGTTGCTACCCTCTGGCTTCAGCCTCCCAGAGTGCTGGGATCACAGGCATATGTCATCTCACCTGGCTCCAGCCACCCTTTTAAGGTCTCTTTTCTCTTGTTAATGCACACAAACACATTGCTAGCCAATACTCTGTCACGTCAATAGTCCACTGAAAGATACTGTGGTGTGGAATGTTTGCAAATCCACGGGATTACAGTTTTGTAAATTACAGCTACTGGCTCTGCAAAAGATAAACTTGGAATGTGAATGTGAAGGTACAGTGAGCAGCTCGAGTTTCTGCTGGGTGTGTTTGCTTTCACTGGTTTCACTGCAGCCCATTATAGAAGTGTTCGTGAAGGGGCAAACCCAGAACAGAGTGTAAAGAAGGGAAAAATTGGGAAACAATCCTGTAAAACAGGACAAGCACATTCACCTGGTTGAAATCCTTCCGGTTGGGTTTGTAATAAATAACCGAGATCCTGTTTGTGTCCCTAGCAAGCGACGAGAAGACTCAGAGCGATCAATATTTGTGCGTTTAAAGGAAGGAGGCTACAGACTTCGAGAAAACATCCTCTTCCATCTCTATGTGAGCACATCACCCTGTGGGGATGCCAGACTCAACTCCCCCTATGAGATCACCACAGACCGTAAGAAATAGCATGTTTTTCCTTTGTAGATGGCAAACAGTGTCAGACTGCCCTTTGTCTATCTAGACCCTATTCTGGGCTATTCTGGCCCAGGAGCCTTTTGTGCATGTGGGCATGGCTCTAAAATGCTAGAAGTAGATTGCAATTAACTAGATAATCACAGCTCCAAAATCTTAGTCTGCCCAGATCACTGGTAGAAAAGCAGTTTGAGGTCTAAAATTAGCTATTTAATTGCCATGGTCCTCTGCTTCATTTTAATGGGTCAGACAGTCCCTTATCCTAGGCTGGAAAATGGAATGAATATGGCAAATGAGAATTACATGGGGTGCAGCAAATTCAAACTGGCTCTGTTTGCCTCCATTTGCAACTTTGGGGAGAATAAATCTCAGCTTTTGTAACAAAGCCAGCTTGGAGGAATGCCCAGTAAGAGTGCTGCCCCAGGTTAACTACAAATTTCCATTACTGAACTGTTGGATAGGACTGCTCCACTTACGTTGGTTAGTAGAATGCAAGAGAAAGTGCCCAGGTGCCCTCTGCCCCTCCCAGTCATCCCCATCAGCAGAGTGGCTACACTGTGCTTCAGGCGGCCATCCACTCTGTAACAGTGATGGCAGTATCTCCCTGACAAGAGAACCCAAAGGCATGGGTTCGCTCCTTCTCTCCTTAATCCCTATTATTAAATTCTATTTTTGGTGCTACTTGCATACATTCTGCACTTACATGTCTGTATGTATATATTTATATACCACACACACACTCACTCACTCACACTCTCCCAAACCCTTCCTAGAAGGAAGCCTAGGAAAATATTCCCACAGAGGCAATGAAAGTAAATATACGTACAGTGGTTCCTTAGCTCACAAATAATTCTTTCCACCATTCCGGCTGCAACCTGAATTGGATGAGAACCAAGTCGAATTTCCCCATAAGATCAACATTGAGCCTAACCATTGAATTTGTTTCAGTACCGGTGCTGTGCATGTATTTCTACTACCTGGACATAGTCACAGTCAGCATTTTGTGGGTTTTGTTGCAGCTAAACATATATATATAATATTTTACCAAAAAGAAAATAAAAATAAGTATGTATGTATGATGAAGGATATGGTCTCAATAAAGGTAGTGAAGTATCAAAAAGTTCATTTTGTTTTAATGAAATTTCCAGTAGAAAAACAATGGATAATGCACAGTTATTAAAGGGTTGGCTTGACCTCTGACTCCTGATATGGAAGGCTACATTTTTGTAGTGATTACAAAAGTCAGGAAAAGGGAGACTCTATTGAGTGTCTTCTGTGTTCCAGGCTTGTAATGAGTGCTTCCATCAAAAATAAAGAAGATATAGGGAGAGGGTACTAGTGTTTTCCGTGTTTCCCTAACCCTGAGACTGGTTGCTGAACCAGTGAAATTCCTTCTCCTTTCACACGCAGACTTTCCTTCAACCCTACTCCTTTGGATGAAAGAAATGAAAGAAAACATTTTCACATCCTTTGAAAAGAAACATTTTCCATGAAAGAAACATTTTCACATCCTTTGAAAATCAAATTAGAAAATCAAGTCAAATTGAGAATTAGAAGAGAGAACTTAGTTTCTTTTCTCTTGTTGCTGAGACAAAATACCTAACACCCAAAGTTAAAGGAGGAAAAGTTTATTTGGCTCTCAGTTTGTAAAGGCTTCAGTCCATAGTAGGGTGGCTCTAAGGCTGGGTGGTTTGGCAGAGGGGCATCACAGAGGAGAACAGTTCATAGCACCCACAAGATAGCAAAAGCAACAAGTGGGAAACCAGTTCAGGGTGACCAGAAAGTAGCAAAGCAACAAGGAGGCTTAACAGCATCTCTCTGCCCCTTATATTTTATCCATACTGCTGGGATTTGGGTGGTGCCAACCCAATCAGTGGACTGATTAGCAATCACACACCCTTAATTCCAGCATCACACTTCAGATTCAGCCACCTCTGAAAAAGCCCTATGATCACATGAGGTTTGGGGGGACATCTAGATACAAACCAAAACAGAAACCCATTAACTAAACTGTCCCCGGCAAGGTGAGAGGCGAGGGTGGCTGGGGCAATGTGAGAGGCACACAGAGCCCTCCCTGTGCAGGGTTTGGTGAGACCACATAGGGCATCCGTTCACTACTAGAGAGACAGAAAACCAATACAGCACTGATTCGTTTTCCAGGGAAACATCCATCAGCCTGGATCTGCATGATACAATCTTTCCCTATGTAATGGTGAAATCTGGTTCCTTTCCCAATAGACAGCTAGTAGGAATTAGTTCTCCATCTTCCCTTGGAAGATTTGGTATCATGAATACCCAGCCTAAGGACCCTCAAACTGTGGGCAGAAATGTCTTGTGAGACTTTTAGGACTAGACCTATTTATCCAGCTTCCTCCTTGGCACCTGTGTCCCCAGAGGGAGTCAGGAGAGGACTGAGAGAGGACAGCAAGAACTTTGGCCATGGCTTAGACTTCCTGGTCTCCCTGGGGATAGTTTTGGTCCATCGAGCTTCCCTTGTCTCTACATCAATCACCAACTGTGGCCTCACCAGCCCTCAGTTCTAACTTGCAATGTTGGCAGTTTAGAAAAACAAACAGATACATTTTCACAGGCACCCTGGAGTTCACTTCCAGGCACAGATGTCTTTTATTTCATGGTACTTTTAAGAAGAGGCAGGTGCTGGTAGGAGAAAAAAAAAGAAAGCATTCTCCTCCTGTTGTGCTATAGATATGCCAGGCAAAAGGGAATGCTATTGCCTGAGTTATGCCTCTGAATTAGGGCTGGTATCTCCCCACCTGGGGAGCATGGAACAGTCATCCACTCAGTGAGCTTGTAAAGTAGACTCGCCAGCCAGAAGCTATTCTTCGCTTTCCCCCGTTCACTCAGTGAGGACAAGATAACTCAGATGCCCAGTGTCTCTGCTTGGAAGGAGCCTTCAGAGAGACTGTTCCGCACCCCTCACACATCCTGAGGGAGGCAGAAACTTTCAGGAACAAATTCTGCTTTCGCAACCTTAGAGAAATTCACTAAGCTCCACTTTGCATCAAGAGAACAAGCAGCACCCTATGTTACTCACTAGTGCAGCGTTCTTCCTTGCTACTGTTTAAGGAGGGCTTGACTGCTAGATAAGGGATGTGAGTGACAAGGCCTTTGCTTTAATGGGCTCCTACCAGGGACAGTTGCGGTGAAAGGCCCCTGAAGGAAGGCTTGCTAGAAAAACGAAAGTCAGTTCAGGCTACACCTGGGGTCAGCAGGCAGCACTATCTACCCCACTTCTGCCGCCAAATGCTAACACTGTAAGAGCCCCAGCCTCACCCTACCTCCAGACCAAGGATTCGGGCTCCTAAATGGAGCCCTGGGGACCATGTTTCCTGCACCAGCTGTCCCCCAAAGGTCACTGTCATATCATTATGATCACAAATACAGAGCATACTGGGCACAGACACGCTCAGTGCATTCTACTGAAATCTTCATTGCGGAACTAAGGAGCTCATCCTAAACTAAAGGAAACTCTGGACTAGTGCTCTCCCCCTTCCTTGGGTTCTCCTGCTCTCCAGCATTGTGCCTGCTAAGACTTGATCACTGGCCACTCTAGCTCTTTTTTCTTACTCTCAATTAGTTTGTACAAGCTACTGTGAACTCCACATGGGCCCACACGATGCTTACCTCCATCAACCTGCGACTGTGCTAGAATTCTCTGTCTCTCTGTCTCTACCACTGTTCCTCCCTCTTTCTCCTCCCTTGCCCCCTCTTTCTGTCTCATAAATATACAAACATACACATGTGCATAAACATACTTGCACAAACACATGTACATGAACATATATGCACACACATACATGCATTAGTACAAGTCTACACAAGCAGTCAATGCCTCAGAATCTACTAACACCACTTGGATCTGACTAAACCTAAGAGAAGTTCAGAAACTTGAATAGGTGTCTTAGGTTGTACCTCTTCCTTGCAAAGAATGAAGGAACTGGGGATGAAATATTATAAGAAAATTTTCTAGAAATCTCAATCATGCAAATACCAAATAATCAGAAGAACAAGAAAGAATGGAGCCTGACTTGAAATTTCTAGGAACTATTTTCAACTCCTCACCAGCTCCAGACTCACTGCTTTCCACCGAGGACTTCTCTGGCCAAGCAGCCGTTCTCCCAGCTGAGAAGTTTTCATGAGTTCCCAGAGCCCTGTTCCTTGAAGTCAGCTGGACTCCCTGAAGCTCAGATTCAGGGGCTCTAAGTACTAAGAGATGACACAGACCCTGATGTGATTATCAGGACCAGTTTCCCTAGGATACCTATTGTTGGGAAAAGTCTAAATTCTAAGTTTTATTATTTTCTACCAAAACATTTATCCAGATCAAAAAAGTCTCCATTCTTGGAGGCTTTGACTATGGTAACAATGCCAATTGACCAGTGATATTTTGGGAGATATATTCCCTGCAAGTTTAGGAATTAGATTTAGTTGCTTCCAGACCTAGTTTATCTCTCAGTGTCACCTGAGAAGATTTTTAAAATTCATGTTTCTACCATATGCTACTTGTCTGAGATGTTGCTGCATTAGGGGTGGAGAGAAGCTCACATATCTGCAGCTTTCTGAGAATTAGTCATGTTTCAAGTCACTAGATTTGAATTTCCTTAAATTATATCTTGTCCAAATTAGGCAGGCATTTATTTCTTGGTTTACTGGAGGGTCTTTGAAGAGAGGGTGATCTAGCAGAGTTTCTGCATAAGGCCAGACAGAGCTCTGTGGTGGGACCCCCTGACCTGCAGCAAAGTGGGTAGGTGAGAAGACTCTTACTGCAGCATCACATGCACTGTCAAGGAAAGGTTGCTTCAGCACCATCCTGTTCAGGCTGAGGTGTCTTGTTTCACACAATCCAGCGCTACTTTTTCCATCTCAGGTGACTCCAAAATGCTGAACCACATGACTTCCTCCCTCCATGGGCCAAGGTTAGTCAAGGGGGCAAAAATGCCTGAAAGATATTTCTTCACTCAA